CCTCGGGGGCGGGGGGGGCGGGGGGAGCCTGTACCTTCTTCATGCGAGCGTAGTCGATGAGGCGGGCATAGGCACTGGTGCCGGCGATGATGAGACGAGGACGGAAGAGCCGTGCCATCACCTCCAGCTGGTCGTAGTCAATCAGCCCTGTGGCTGGCTGCAAGGGATGGACAGACAGGACAGCTTGCTGACATGCACCTCCCTGCCTCCAGCTTGAGGCAGAGCACATTTGGCTGAACCACAGGCAGCTCCCAAGCACCCCATGGCACAAGGACATGGTCAGGTCATGGAAAGGATAGGGCAGTGGATGTCAGAGCATCTTGGGTATCCCAGGGACACCATCAGCATCAACAGATTGGCCAGCAGCTCCCACCCTCCCCCAGAAACCCGCCCCCTTGGCTCACATCAAGTTTGTAGGGCAATGACTCGAAGAAGATGGAAGTTGCTGAGATTCTCTTGATGTCCGACATGTACCCATGTGTGAGACTGCAGGGGAAGGCAGAGGTGCAGGGTCAGGCTGGACCCCCCAAGAAGCAGCAGGCCCCAGGCCACTGCACCCTGCTACCTACTGGCCCCCATCAGGCAGATCCAGCCCCATCAGGCGGTCGTGGGGCTGCAGCAGGGCTGTGTAGGCTGCAAAGTTGGCTGGGGATCCTGAGTAGGGCTGAACGTTGACACCCCAGTGGGCAGGATCCAGGTCAAATGCCTCCAGAGCTCGCTGTTCACATAGCAGTTCGATCTGGTCCACCACCTCAGCTCCCCCATAGTATCTGGAAGAGCAGGGAGGCGGTTATGGGAGGTCTTCCCACCACCAGCCCCACAGAAGACCTTGGTGAAGATTACAGCCTCCTGTTTGTGCTCTGGGGCTCCCCTTAACCTTTCCTAGAGCTAAATTCCATCTGTGAAAGGACCTCTGATGCCTCCAGTGCCCTCCTGACCCCAGAAACAGCTCCCATTCTTTACCTCTTGCCAGGGTACCCCTCCGAGTACTTGTTGTTGAGGCAGGAGCCCAGGGCTTCCAGTGCTGCCCGGCTACAGAAATTCTGGGGGAAAAAAAGGAGGTCAGAGACAGGGCAGCAGAGCTCCCACCTGAACAGGGGTGCCCCTGGACCAGCCCCCAGGACTGGGCACACCCCCTGCCCCAAGTATCCCATAGCCCACCTCAGAGGCAATGAGCTCCAGCCCCCGGCACTGCCGATCCTTCTCCTTCTGGACCAGGCTCCACATCTCGGGGTCACTCTCGGCCAGACTCTCCTGCCCCGTCCAGCTAGGCACATGCCTGGTAGCAGCTGCTGCAGCAGTGCCATGCTGTGCCCGCTGGATGCTGATGGCCACCTGGCCACCGCATCGCTGCAGGGCCTGCACAGAAGATGTGGGACTGACAGGCTGTGACCCTGCACAGGCAGGTACCAGGCCCCCTTACCCCTGGAGCACCCTGAACCAGGAAGTGACAGTGCCAGGAGCAAGACCCCGGTGCTCTGTGTTCAGCCACCTGTGGCACCCCCCAGAGGGACACACGAGGATCCCCACAAGGCCACATAGGGACCCCCCACAAGGTCTCCCAAGTCCACGGCAGGGGCAGGAGCATCTTGCATCCACCGAGAAGCTCTGCTGAAGCAGGAGGAACAGCAGCCAAG